ACTTTCAGCTAATGTTATTGGAACTAGCTAACCTATGTGACATCTTATATCTCACTTGTTTACTCTAATAAATGTTGTGAACTTTGTCAATTTACTTACTATAATGTGCTTTAGTCCATGTTTGCTTGCCATTCTATGTTTGGTAAGAAAAAATGAAAGGTGAAAAGGAATAGATTCAAGCGGAAATTTCGCCTGTGTTATTCTCATTTGTTTGTGAAAGAAAGCCTACCTCAAAATTGTATGCCTACCTCAAATTCATCCCCATTCAAAGAAAGCCGACAGAACATGAATCTGGGACTATTGAGTAGGGAGTCTATCTAATTCACTTTGTGAATTTACTTACAATTACGCGCCTTATTATTTTTTTTCTCTCAGTCATTTGTCAACAACCGCGATGGATTTGAATCTAGAACTATTGAATAGAAAGCATACCCACCCAATCATCTCCTCTCTCTGATCCTTCCATGTTCATAATTAAGATGTGTTCATAATCAAATAAATTCCTCACAAAAAAAGAAGCATATAAACTTGTATTTTTTTTCAAATGGCCATCAAAGGTTAAGAAAGAAAGTAGCATGTGAAAGTCCTTTCTTCGTCTCCTAATAAGGGCCTGTTCGTTTGTTTTCTAAAAACCAAGAAATGGAAATGGAAATGGTGAAAATCTCAAAACTCACCATTTCCTCCATTTCCATCCCTAAAACTCACCCACAACATCCAATAAAATATTATTTCCATCCAACAACTCATCCACATCATCTAATAAAATATGATTTTCATCTAACCACTCATCCATCACATCTAATAAAATATTATTTTCATCTAACAACTCATCCATCACATCTAATAAAATATTATTTTCATCCAAACATCACTCAACTCATCTCTTCTCATCATTTCAAATCACTCACATCATCCAATAAAATATTATAACAATTCACCTCATCTCATTAACATTTCATTTCTTCATTTTCATCCCAAAAAGTTATGAAAACACTTTTCTTAATCTTTCTTCACATCACCCAATAATACAATGACAACTCATCTCATCTCATTTCATTTCTTATTTTTAAGAATGAACCGAACAAAAGAAAACAAGAAACTACAGGAAATAGATTTCTTATAATTCATTTCCTTATTTTTTTTGGCCAACCGAACACTCCAAAACTAGTTTTCTTAAAAAATCACAAACATCATCCAATAATAAGGTGACAACTAACATCATTTCAATTTCATTTCTTTGATTTCCTTCTTTTTTAGCCAACCAAACACTCCAAAAACAATTCTTCATTTTAATAGCTTTGATTTCCCTCTTTTTTTTAGGCAAACGAACAGGCCCTAAAAGTAAAACTATGAATGCAATGTAAAAGTTTGGAACAAGAGTCGAAAAAGGGGTGTTGCGAGAATCGAACTCGCGACCTCTCGCACCCGAAGCGAGAATCATACCACTAGACCAAACACCCTATTTCCTTAGGGCTTGCAAATACGATTTATTTATATACCAATTTAAATTTATTTCTACCCCACAAACAAGTCTTCAGTTTTTTTTTGACCCCTCTGGCCGATCTCTCTCAACTTTCAAAAACCCTAATAATTCCTCGAAATTTTCTCACCCGCTCTGGACTTGAAACATCCTCGAATAGAACAAAAGCGTTCTCAACCTCAGTAAGTTTCGATTACTTTCACAAATTTCTCGCTCTCCATTCTTTACAAAAACCTAACGGATACAATCACATCCTCGATCCCCTCGATTTGTATCCAATCACGGAAAAAGTTTATTTCTCCTAATTAAATCCCTTTTCCATCAAATTAACCTTTTTCGGTTCGTTTGCTGACGGTATACTGTAAATTATTTGTAAAATTAGGTTTTTTTCCCCTCTCCTTTCAGTTATCTGATTGTTATTGTTAAGAGGAAAGCGCGGTAAGCAAATTTCGATGTCTCATTCAGGGAGCAAAGTGAGTTTTTCCCCCCTTCTCTATTTTGGCTTCTAGTTCTTTTATATTTCGTACTTATATGGTAAGTATTTTTGTTGTCTAGACAGTTGGGGTTGATAACACTTCCAGAAGAAAATGGAACAAGGAAGAGTTTTTGGAGAGAGCTCGCGAAAGGGAGCAGGTTTACTCGAAACCCAAAAACTGAAAGGGGAGAAAAAAGAGAAAATTTATGCATTTTGGATTGTTTGTAACGATTATGTATTTTTTTTTTCGTCCTTGGTAGGAGGAGGAAGAAGACCGATTCTCGTCCAAAGGTTAGTAGTGTAGACACTATGCTAATAGGATTTATCTCAATGGGATCTGATCATGCTGTTTCTTTTCATTTGGTTTTCTTACTTCTCAGCAAAAGCTCCGCCTGTCCAAAGAAAACCCTTGAAACACAGAGATTATGAGGTCGACCTTGAATCAAGGTTGGGAAAGACCCAGGTATGATGCATTATATTATGGTAGATGTCACTCTTAATCTTGAGCCGTTGGAAGTTCTACCCACTGCTGTCATATTACTAAATGTATTACTAAGATACAAGCACACCAACTTTGTGCTACTAAAGGTTGATGTGCATCTGGCTTACTGCTTGGGATGTTGAGCGCATGATACTTTAATTAAATTATCGCATGAAGTATTGATGTTACTTTGCTAGTCAGAGATTAGAGTGCGTTAATGTGTTTTATGTTGTGCTGAGTTTCACATTATACAGTTGTTATTCTTTTATTTGCTTCAATTATTATGTAACCATCTGTTTTATCTTTTTTTCTCGAAAGAAGTTTATCAATAGTATCATAGTAGAGACTTCATTGTGATATCTGTTCTAAAGTATTTTTGAATAGCGGAATTGTTTGCTGTAGAAATCCTTCAAAATCCATGAATTTCCTTAATTAGTAAGTCCTTTTGGGCTGTAGTATGAGGACCTTGCTTTTGACAATTATAAATGCAGGCATTGATACTCATGTAAGCATGTGTCTTGTCAACTTATGTCAGTTTGCTCTTAAGTCATAGTTTGTTTTGAACTAGCAAATGTAAAGTTCGACACTTCCAATGTTCCTTGATGAGGCTCATCACACCTAGATCTACTGTAGATAAGTCTCTTCTAGTTGGGAAAGAAAGTGTGTTTTTAACTTGGTCCATCAAATTCAACCATCTTACAAATTTCATGATGGACCAACTTCTTTCTTGAGGCGTTGTTATCTTGGTGAGGTACATACCAGTCTGTTTCCCTTACGTCCTGAATTCATATTTTCTGGTTGACATTTTGGCCAGTAAATGGTTCACTCTTAAATGATATAGCTGATCCTTATGTGTCTAAGTGGATCTTAAATTATAAAAATGAAAAAAGAATATTGATCCTAATAAATATTAATTTCAATATATATAATTGTGTCTCCGTACCGTACCTCTTATAAATTGGCCGTGTGTCTTACCATATCTGTTCCCGTTTGCATGAAATATAGGCTTTACAATGTCATATTTCGCTCATGTTGCATTCCAATGTTTTTCTACTGTACTGTTTTGAAATGGTCAAAGACTACAGTGAGCTATTAAATACAAAAAGAAAAACTTATAATTCCTAGGCATGTGCCAACTTGGTATAGAAATTGCATAATTTTGGAATCAATATTGAAGTATAATTTCAAACAATCATCTATATGTTTTTAGTAGGATGCGTATGATTTCAAACAAGCATCTATATGTTTTTATCATGTACAGTGACCAAATTTGCGACTATTGTGTTGATAATGATATATGTGCATCTTCAGCAGTAGTTACTGGCTTGATTATGATTTTGTATTGCTCAAGATTGTGTTTGAACTAATCCTGTCTACTTTGGCAGGTGGTCACTCCGATTGCACCCTTAAGCCAACAGGTACGTGTTCTTGACATGTTTAGGAGTATACACCTGTTTATTCGATTAATTATCATGTTATCGCTTAGCATATAATAAAGGACAATAATCTTCCTGAATTGTTCTTCAAATATTTTATTCAACTACCTGTTGTTACCACAATTTATTGGGTTAAACATTTTAAAATATATTCTCGAATGAAGTTTGTAATTCATTAACTTTCAAAGGTGTTTTAGTTTTAACTATGTTGCAAATGGATTGCGAGTCATTTCCAAACTAATCTGTTCTCCAGAGGCAAGCGGATGGAATAAAATTTGATATACACTGTTTTCTTACATTATTCGAGTGAAGTATATTGAATTGGTTAAACAAATAGCATAATATGTATGAAGACATTTATTGATTAATTAAAGCACCAGTGTGGTTCAGTTGGAAAGTTGATTAATTTCATGTTCTACAACAAGAAATTGTACATTTACTTTGCGTACTCACACTTTTCCATACATATCAAACTTCACTTAAATTTGAATGGTGGCATTGTAGTATGTATGGTATTTCTACTTCATTCTAGTATTCACCAGGTGGATCTTCTATCTAAATACAAAATGAATCTGATATGGAATCCAAAGACAAGCAGTTTAATGTGTACTACTTTTTACACTACCACAATGAACTCATTAAAATGAAACCTAAAGAAGATGCAAAATTGTTGAAATAAATACCAAAATTTATACATAGACTTTCATTGACTAACTGAAACAACCGTTGCAACATCTAGACTCTAATGATGCAGTTTGAATGTTTCATTATTTTGTTACTTTGCTATTTTTATTCATTTTATTTGGACAACGGGCTTTATACCTATCAATATTAGCTAAATTTGTAAAGAAGCTCGAGAACTAGCACCAGTAACCTTGCCAAGAACTGTAAGCATCTGTTTATTTATCTCATAATAGATATACTACACTTTCGGTATTCACCAAGTCAATCTTCTATATTCAGAGTTGTAAGCATCTGTATATTTATCCCATAATAGATATGTTATTTCACTTTCGGTATTCACCGATTGGATCTTCTGTACTGCAGGCCGGATATTATTGTTCAGTTTGTGAGTGCGTGGTAAAGGATTCTGCTAACTATTTGGACCACATCAATGGAAAGAAACGTAGGTATTCTGGGAACTGTGTTTATGCTAATTATTTGTTTCTGCCTCTCATAAATAGTAAAGCTGATGTTTATGTTTTTGTAACGACCAGATCAAAGGGCTTTGGGTATGTCAATGCGGGTTGAACGAGCATCTCTTCAACAGGTAGTCTTTTCTGGATATTGCTTTATGAACAACGTTGTACCTATTAGCTATTATGATGACTAAATAATTTAACGATATGTTTTTAGGATGTCCTGTCACACACAACGTACACGAATTATTGAGATATGAAGCCTGACCCCCAGTCATTTTAGATTATACCACCCAAATCGAGGACTTGATCAAAGATCTAAGGCATATGATGTTCAAATATAAAATGAGTTACATAAAAAAAAATTCATTTCTGATATCTGTGCATTAGCTGGTTACAGAGCGATTCTTTTTCTGATCAAGTTGAGATGTCTTAGGTTATTAAAGCTGTTAAAGTAGTTGAATTTGGTTTGTGTGTCTTCTAGGGCCTTTTAAGGTGTATTGATGAGTACTGAGTTCAGTATAAACTTGACTATTCTTCTAAATTTCTAGCTGTGAACGATGCAAATGCCAAGACATTGTTATAAGATATGCTTTGATGTTTTAGAGCATAAGTAGTGTAGTATCTATGTTTTGATGTCATACACAGACGATTTTATGGGCATTTTAGATGTTTCAAATCACAATTACTGGCATATTCTCAATGTTGATGAGAATGCGTCCTTATTTTGTTGGTGCAAGCACGGACAGGTAGGTATGATGAGGGAGTCACATCTAGGCATGTCGTTGTTTTTGTGAAGGTATTACCAGCACTCATGGGTTTTGGTCTGTGGGTATATGAATACATCCAAGTACTCTTTGGATGTATAGCACATGTATCTTTAAATATAACCTGCTAAATTTCTGTAAGTTTGATTTTTAGAAACAATCTGATTCTGAGGTTCTGGGTCACTTGTCTATAAACTTTTGTTAATAAGTCGTACTTTCCACCAATTACACATTGAGGCCAGATTTAGTGGTAAGATGGGAGAGAGATTGGATTACGGAAAATCCCAAGTTCAGGACTTGGTTATGGCTCCTGTTTACCCAAAAAAAAGGATAGGGACACGAGATGGTTACATGACCTATAAATAAGCTTTGTATTTGCCAAATACCTCCCCTATATATGACTAAGAGTTCCATTTCAATTGTTTTACCCGAAAATTGGCAAAGCAATTGTTTGTTGTACGAGAGATCAGCTCTTGTGATTTATCAGCACGTTGTGGTATTTTGATGAAAAATCTGATTTTTTATGATTGTCATGCATACACTTGAAAGTCTCATCGCAGATGATTCTCAATGTAAATAACTGTCATTGTGAAGTAAATGTGTGTGCATCTTCAAATTTGTTAACCTTCACTTTTTATTTTATTAGTGATCATTGATAATTGGTTAATGTTATTAATGTAATAAATCTAATGATCTATTCATAGGTCCAAGAACGATTTGAGAGTCTGAAGAAGCGAAAAGATACAGGAAGCTTTACAGAGCAAGGTAAATGAATCAAAGGACATCTTAGCTTGCTAGTGTTGTAAAGGGTTTTTTGTCGTCTTATTTCTTGCTTCTTGATAATATTTTAATGCTTCCTAACATATAAGGCTAACGTTGTATACAATATGCCAAACTCATTCGTATACAAATGGGAGCACTTACGGGAATGATATGGACTTCAAATGGCCTTTGATGTGCCTATGTAATAATTTGATAGTTTTCCCTTTGGCTTTCAGATTTTGATGAGAGGATACTGAAGCAACAGCAAGAGGAGGAAGAGAGGAAGCGGCAACGACGAGAAAGAAAGAAGGAAAAGAAGGTTAGCATCTCTTTTTTCTGCTGCTGTATACAATTATATGGTTCGTACAGATTCTGCAATTACCTCTGCTGATTATAGTTCCCAAGCTCTTCTTATATTGTTGCTGCTGATAATGCAAAAGTCTTTAAAATTGCTTATACTGAAAGGGTTTGGTATTCCTCCCTGTGTAAGCCTAAATATTTGCTTATGCAAATGAGGTTTGTCATAAATCATAGCAAATGAGGTTTGTCATAAATCATAATCCTCTACTTCAAATGAAGTAGTAGCCTAAGATCAGGAACCAGGGTCATGTGTAGGCCTTGTTCATATGCTTATTTAATTGATATATTTTATCAGTGTTTGGACTGCTACAAAAGATATAAGAGCATAAGACTGCCCTGCTGCTTTATTTTCATGCTAGATTATTATCACAGAGGAGCTAAAATTGTAGATCTTCTATGATCTGAAGGTATGTGTACATAGAAATCAGGATATTATGAGACTGTGATGCTTCCCAAACAATAAAATTCAATCAAACATCTTTATCGTAGTTCACCTCTTTATATTTTGATTAGCTTCAGATGTCGAACAAATTGGAAAAGTCAGCAATATATTTTTCCCCTTTTAAATTTTAGTTGTACGCTATTAATGGGATTAAATTTAGATAGCAGACAGAAATTCCAACTTGTAAAGCTGTGCTCTGGAAACGTAGAAGGAAAACACGACTTTTTTCTTTTACTCGGTAGCTGAAGTTTCAAGAAAATTTCTAGGAATATTCTTGATGCCTCGCATTGCTCAGCTTAGTTCCTCCATTTCTGCTTGGTTTTTTTTTAAATAATCAAGTAGTCTAAATCAGACGCGTCTTTATTTTGGTTTCTAACAAGCTGATTCTGACCTCAGAAAGGGAAGGCTTTGGAAGATGAACCAGAGATCGATGCAGATGTTGCGGCCATGATGGGCTTTGGAGGCTTCGGTTCTTCTTCGAAGAAATGAGATGGCTGCAAGATTCTTCACAACTTTGATCTTCCATTGCACACCCAGGGGATGTATAGAGAGCATCAACACTCTTTGACTAGTCTGGCTTTTTACACATTTAGTGGAAATCAAAGGTCAGAAGGGATTGCGGGAGTCAGCATAAATCACGTCAGATCTTAGTTTCTTTGTATTGTGAACGCCGTTCTATTCGGGGATCATGTTTTATTGCTGAAAGAGAATGTTGTTTCAATATTTTGGTTTATCATCTTGTACCAAAGCAAATCAAATGAACTGTAATGTGCTTAGACGTTCTAATACCTTACGAAGTCGCTTCTTAAACATTCTATTGTTCATGTGACATATAAATTAGGATTTTTAACTATTAGTATAAAAATGATTAGATCACAACTTCAATTGTTTTTTTTTATTTTTTATTTTTTGTGATGTTGTACTAGAGTTTGCAAGTTCAAAATGCGTGTAAAAATAGTATTTGTGGTTTCCCCACTGCGTTTTGGCTGATAAAATATGGAGAAAAAGAATTTGAATTGAAAGCATCAATTGTTGTAGGACAAATTGACTTGTAACCTCAATTCGAGTAAAATCTTCCGCATGGAACAATGTGACTAACCTCAATTTGAGTAAAACCTTCCGCAAGAACAAAAGGGAGGCCGCATTCAATCGCTTTGAGCTTGGAATTTAAAGGATCCTAGCAATGCCCTAGCAAGTCGAGACAGAGCAAACAGGATCACACCAGAAGAAATTTTCTTTTAAAATAAATACATTAAGTGGGTCAAAATTTTTTTTTTAAATCCGGTTCCTAAACAGTCGGGGTTGTCAACCCCGACTATTTAGGAGGTTGCTAAACCCCAATTACAAATCTAAATCCTAACATTCTATGCACTAAATAGTCGGGGTTGGCAACCCCGACTATTTAGCAACCGGAGTAAAAAAATAGGCCGCTTTTTGTAAAAAAAAACTCAAGGGGGTCGATTTAAAAAAAAAAAAATGTGAATGGGTTTGTTTAGAAAATTCCTTCGATCACACCATCGTTGTTCAAATTAATGATGCTCAAATTCCTACCTTAATGGGTTCTTATTGTTAATCTGAACAAAAATCCTATAATTCTATTGTGCACCCAATAATAACGTTGATACCGACCGAATTAGTTTTAACAGTTCCTAAGTAAAACGGTCCACGATCGAACAGTATCCAATTGGAGAATTATCAATTTAAAAATCATCTGCCTGCGATCCTCATGATCATATAATCTAATATCTACGTACCTAGCAACACTATCTACTTGGGAAATTATCGAGCATGAAACAGTTTAATTTCTAGCTAGGCTTCGTTCTTCTCTAATAAATCAGAGCAATTTGCCATTGCTCCAGTTCTAAAAAAAAAAAAAAAAATCAGACCCACCGCAGGTTCCAATTCCGGGCTAGGTTACTTATTTAAAGGAACCCAAAAAATCAGTGTTCCAATTTTGTAGTAAAAATGCCCTTTGTATCTTCCTTTTTTAAGAAATCAGATAACATGATAATGATCTTATAATATTATGTTATTAAACCTTGGGCCAATATGAAATTGTTATAATATTTAAACTAGAAAAGTTTTAAACTCAAGCAGTAGAATTTATTAATCTTTTATTATTGCATCAATCTAATCAGAACAATAATAAAGCCAACTTACAATCAAGCCCTTCTTATTAGTAACAATATTAGATTGGATGGTGTTATATTGGTGCAGACGCATTTATCCTCTCACCTGTTGGTTCAATTTCCTCCCTCCACTATATTTTGTCATGATTTTAAAATATTATGAAATAGAAACAAAGAGAGATTGAACGTCGAATAATACAAAGATAATGAGACGAGTCTAATAGACAGAATAGGAAGTGTAATCCAGGTTAAATCATGGAATTAGATTTATCACGCATATGGTGCTTTGGAAATTCATCAAATAACGCGTGAACTAAAAGATAACTTATGTCAACTAAAAAAAGATAACTTATCATCAATGAATAGAATGTTTGGTGGATGGTCCACTAAAGTTAACATAAGTTTCTATATACGTGAGAATAATGTGTATGCTTGGTACTAAGCGTAAATTTTATGCTTGGTAGTGAGGTGTCTTATTCTCATTCATTCATTCCAATTTCCAACCACGTACTCCCCAACCCATGTGAATGTGGGCCCCGATTTTAATGAGTGAAGGAGAATATGTCATCTTATTACTAAGCACTAAAACTTGTGCTTGTTACCAAGCATACTTATTTCTCTCTCTCTCTCTCTCTCTCTCTCTCTCTCTCTATATATATATATATATATATATATATATATATATATATA